CGATAAGGTAGTAAGTCGAAAAGGAAACAACCTAGACTATTATATGTATGTCCCAAATATATATATATAATTTTTTATAGATTATATAATTATTAAGTGAACAAAATCTATATTATAAATGATAGACAATCAGTCAGCGGGTTTGACAATAATCATCTGTTAATGGACATGTAACAATGCACTGATATGATATAGATATATATCATTACTTTTAGTAAGATATATATTTTTCTTATAAATAGAGAAAATATACGGGTCTAAATATATAACAGAATAATAGATATGTTAATTTAACATATGGTAGCAGAATATATAATGTAAAATTATAAAGATATTGCTGGCTTGAGTAACGATAGGTAATATAAGATTACCCTCCTAATTCATAAGGTTTTACTATAAATGAACGGTCCCTAAGATGAGTATAGAAATATATAGTTAATGGGTGAAAGAACAAGAAAATAAAAAAGAACCGTACTGTAGACCGACACAGGTATGATAAAGGAGAATGAGATAACTACTATGAATGAACTCGGCAAATTAGCATAAAGCTTTAGTCGTGCGACTGTTTACCAAAAACATAGCTTACTGCATACTAGTAATAGTAAGTATAGTAAGTGATATCTGCCCGGTGTATGCTTAATAAATAATTTAGCTAAATGGTTAAATTATAAAAAGCATGTTAACGGCGGTCTTATTGTGAGGATCCGAAGGTAGCGAAATTCATTGACGCATAATTGGTGTCCTGCATGAATGATTACACGATGCGACAACTGTATCCATAGTAGACTCAGTGAAATAGCACTCGCGGTGAAGATGCCGTGTACCCGTAGGTTGACAAAAAGACCCTATGCAGCTTTACTATATCTTTATTTTGATTTAAATATTATATATCTCAGTAGATTAGGTTATATTTATTATTTTAAATAAAATGAGATACCTATATATATAATTCTAGAATCTAATTTATATAACCCAATCTAATAGATTGGGTTACTTAAGACAGAGTAAAGAAGTTAGTTTCGATGGGGCGTCGACATCAGCGAAAGCATCTGATGTGTCTAATAATATTTATAATTTATATTTTAATATAAATTTTTATAATTATTACATTAAATTTATTATATAATAGTAAATTACGTACAATAGTAACTATATGGTAAATAGTATAAATAATGTTTATATGCAAGGATAACAACATAATTGTGCGATGATAATAACACTAACAAGTGGAATTAGTACTTACGTAGAGTGTAGTGAACAGGCATAATCAATTGATATGGATGTCGATAACGGATTAAAGTTACGCTAGGGATAACAGGGTAATACCGCGTGAGAGTTGATATCGTCAGCGGTGTTTGCCACCTCGATGTCGTCTAGACTCGTCCTCCTGGTCGCAGCAACTAGGTAGGGTAGGACTGTTCGTCCTCTAAGGAGTTACTTGAGATGGGTTAATTACGACGTGAGTCAGTAATGATTTTATCATCTATGGGATTTTTCTTATCTGTTGCCTCAAGTGTACGAAAGGATAGTGAGGTGCTTTCCAATGGTTTTTTGTATATATATATTTCGCTTTTTTTAAGCGAAAGGATATACATTTTAGCTAAGAAGGTTGCGGATAAATATTGAAAGCATCTCAAATATTAAGCCCTTCAGATAAGATTTAACATATTAGACTAATATGTTATAGTAAATATATATTTATATATATATTAAACTAATTATTTTTATTCATATACCTACAATATATCATATATATCTCCTGAAACAAATATATCTATGTAATCTAAATATAGATTATTTCTTAAGGAATCATAGATTAACCCCTTCATAAAATGAAGGGGGTACATATATAGATTACTTCTTTAGGGATCATAGATTAACCCCTACATTAAAATGTAGGGGGTACATCTATGTATAGAATATATAATAAAAAAGGTTAAGGGATCATAGATTAACCCCTACATTATAGTCATAATGTAGGGGTACATCTATTTAATATAAATATAGAAAATTTTACAAGGGATCATAGATTAATTGGTAAATCTTTCGCTTTGCATGCGAACAATATCGGTTCAATTCCGATTGATTCCATTATTTTATTTGTATTTATAATAAATTATATAATTAATTATTAAAAATGATTTGATTAGATGTTCCAACTCCTTGAGGAGTTCGTTTACAAGATTCAGCAACACCTAACCAAGAAGGTATACATGAATTATATGACCATATAATGTTTTATTTAGCTTTAATATTAGGTTTAGTATCATATATATTATATGTTATAATAAAAGATTTTAAAAATAATAAATTTGCATATAAATATTTAAGACATGGACAAACATTAGAAATAATATGAACTATATTCCCAGCTGTTATATTATTATTAATAGCTTTCCCTAGTTTTATATTATTATATTTATGTGATGAAGTTTTAACTCCTGCTATGACTATTAAAGTTGTAGGTTTACAATGATATTGAAAATATGAATACTCAGATTTTGTATCAGAAACAGGTGAAACTATTGAATATGAATCATATATTATACCTGATGACATGTTAGAAGAAGGACAATTAAGATTATTAGATACTGATACTTCTATAGTTGTTCCTGTTGATACTCATGTTAGATTTATTGTTACTGCTAATGACGTTATACACTCATTTACTGTTCCTTCATTAGGTATTAAAATTGATGCTACTCCTGGTCGTTTAAACCAAGTTAGTGCCTTAATACAAAGAACTGGTGTATATTATGGTCAATGTAGTGAATTATGTGGAGTTAACCATGCTTTAATGCCTATTAAAGTTGAATGTGTACCTATCGCTGATTTCGTTGAATGATTATCAAACGCTGAATAATATTATTATATCCGCATCAAAAGTGCGGGCATAATAAATTTCCCCTCCGTAGAAAGAGGGATTTATCTTACCACCCACCTGCGGTGGGTGGTAAATAAATTATTATTTATTCATTTTATATCGAAAGGGTGTTTTATTTTTTTTTTTATAAAGCCCATCCTTTATAAAGGGAGATCATAAATATACTTGCATGTATCGTGCGGGTATAAAAAATAAGGAGGAAGTTATAATAAGGAAAGGATAATAATAAATAGGTAGAAGTAAGTTTATATAGCTTAATGGTAAAGCAGTGTACTGTTAATACATCGATTTTGGTTCAATTCCAAATATGAACGAATATATATGAAAATAATATTAAATTATTAATTATCTATCTTTAGTAGAGATATAATTAATAATTAAAATAATAAATAAATAAATAAAAAATGAATTTAATAAGTGGATTATCAAGTTTATTAGCTATAGGATTATTATCGCCAGTACAAAGTATATTATGATTAATAATATTATTTACAAGTACAGCGATATGTTTATATAGCCAAGGATATGTTTTAATGGGAATATTATATATATTAATATATGTAGGAGCAATAGCGATATTATTTTTATTTATATTATCATTATTAAAAATAGATTATACACCACAAGGAAATATATCACCATTAGTAATAACATTATTATCAATAAGTTTAATACCATTAGATTTAACATATGAAACATATGGAATAGTAATTGGAAAATAGGAAGGATGTATGAAATGAATTTAATAGTAGTAGGAAATCAATTATATACAGGAATATGCTATATTATTAATAATAACAAGGATTAATATTAATCTTTATCAGTTATAGGGGCTATAGCAATAACTAAATAAAATGTTAAATTTAATAGGAATTATTATTATTATTTATATCAGTTTTATTTAGCTGTAGCTTTTTTTAACAGTAGCTGAACGTAAAACTTTAGGTTATATGCAACGTAGAGTAGGACCTAATGCTGTAGGTTATTATGGTATATTAATGGCTATAGCAGATGCAGCTAAATTATTATTAAAAGAAATAATAATACCTACACATGCTGATAAATTAATATTATTTATAAGTCCTATTATATCATTAGTATCAGCATTATTATGTTGATCAGTTATACCTTTTGGTCCAGGTATAACAATAACTGATCATAATTATGGTTTTATATTAACTTTAGCTATAAGTAGTATAGGTGTATTTGGTACTTTATTAGCTGGTTGATCAGCTAATAGTAAATACTCTTTATTAGGTTCTATACGTTCTACTGCTCAATTAATTAGTTATGAATTAGTTTTAACTACTGTTGTATTATTATGTATATTATTAGCTGGTACTATGAATTTATCTAGATATGTTGAATTACAACAATCTATTTGAATTATTTATACCTTTATTACCTTTATCTATAATATGATTTATAGGTTGTGTAGCTGAATGTGCTAGACCTCCTTTTGATAATGTTGAAGCTGAATCTGAATTAGTTTCAGCGTCATATGACCTGAATACTCTTCTTCTATATTTGTATTATTCTTCTTATCTGAATATGCTTCTATATTATTCTTATCTACATTAACTTCTATTTTATTCTTTGGTGGTGGTACTGGTATTATATTAGGTATTAAAGCTTGTATATTCTCATTTACTTATATTTGAGTAAGAGCTACTTTACCTAGAGTAAGATATGATAAATTAATTAATTTATGTTGAAGTAATATTCTTACCTTTATTATTTGCTTTAGCTTTATTTATACCTGCTTTAATTTATTTAATAGATGCTCAAATATTTATTTAAATATACTCTTATTATTTAATACCACTGATATAAAGTAACAGTGCTATCAGATATGACCTCCCTCCAATGAAGGATATATCTATCCAATTTCATAAGAGTGGACATATATATATATTCATCTTTCAAGGAAAGATGGATCGCCCCCTCTCCGGGGGCTTTCATCTTCCAAGGTAAGATGGATTTACCCCCGGAGGGACACTTCATTTTATCTATACGTATAAGGGCGTGTTTATATTATTAAATTTATATATATAAAATATTTTTATAGGAATAGATATATAAGTAATAAAAAATATAAAGAGTAAATAAATAGAAGAGGCTATTCGATTAGGGGTGAAATCGCCAGTTTTTACACAGCTGAGCCATAGGGTTCGAATCCTATATAGCCTATTAAATAAATAATTTCGCCATGTACCGTGGTGGGATATAAAATATTATATAGGTAAGATATATATATATATAAGAGTATAGCTTAATGGTAAAGTCCGTGTCTTCAACACATGTTATAGTAGTTCGATTCTACTTGCTCTTGAGAGGCCTTTGTAGCTTAAATGGTAGAGCGTTCGCTTGAAGCGCGACTGATGAAAGTTCAATTCTTTCCGAAGGCAAAGAGTTAGTCGTCTAATGGTTAAGACTATTGCCTTTTAAGCAATCCATATTGGTTCGATTCCAATCTAACTCATAATTAAAATAATTTATATAAGAATATTTAATAATTAAAATAATACAATGACTAATTCAATAAGAGGTTATATACAATTACATCCTTTTCATTTAGTAGGTCCTTCACCTTGACCATTATTTACTTCATTCTGTTTAATGAATTTAGCTTTATCTATAGGTTTAAATGCTCATGGATATATAAGTTCTAATGTTTATATATTTTTAAGTTTATTTAACTTATTATATTCAATGACTTTATGATTTAAAGATGTTGTAGCTGAAAGTACTTATTTAGGAGATCATACTAAAGCAGTTAAAAATGGTTTAACTCAAGGATTCTATTTATTTGTTGTTAGTGAAATATTAATATTTGTTTCATTATTCTGAGCTTATTTACATTCTTCATTAAATCCTACTATGGAAATAGGTATGGCTTGACCTCCTGCTGGTATAGAACCTATATCACCTAGTGAATTACCTTTATTAAATACTATAATATTATTAGCTTCAGGTGTTACTATAACTATGGGACATCATGCTTTAATTAATGGTAATAGAAAAGATACTTTATATGGTTTCATATTTACTACTTTCTTAATATTCTTATTTGTTATATTACAAGGTTTAGAGTATATATTTGCTCCATTTACTATTGCTGATGGTGTTTATGGTTCTACTTTCTTCTCTTTAACTGGTTTACACGGTATACATATGATAATGTTAGTTATAATGTTAGCAGTATGTACTTGAAGAGTTTATAATTATGATTTCACTAATGTATCACATGTATTTGCTGAAACTACTGTTTTGAACTTACATGTATTAGATGTTTTATGATTATTTATTTATATAATCGTTTACTGATGAGGTTCTTAATTTAATACTTCACTCTACATTTACAATATGGAGATATATCCATTAATGGTAGAGATATACCCCAAGAGGCATATATTTATTCATCTTATTTCAATGAAATTTTACTTTACTTATATATATATCCCCCAGGGGGATATATATATTATTCAAAGAAAAGTATATAATACTTCCAAAGGAAAGTATACTTGATATCCTTATAAAGTAGGAGATATCAGATATATGTATTCACTCGATACGAGCGGAAGATATATAGGAAAGATAAAGAAATTTAGGTATACATCTTGATTACATCAAAAGTGAAATCATATAGATCTTTTATCCTTCAATATGGAATATATATCCCTCCTACGGTGGGATATAAATTAAATGAGTCGTAGACTAATTGGCAAGTCACCTAGATTTGAGCTAGGAGTATATATGTTCAAATCATATCGACTCAGAGCATTGGTAGCTTAATGGTAAAGCCTTATAATGTCACTATAAGAGATGTCAGTTCGAGTCTGATGCGATGCGAATTATGGATAGCTAGGCATTGGTAAGCCGACCTACTTGCTACGTAGTAGCCTCTGTGCTCTCAGCGTTCGATTCGCTGGTTATCCGTTGGCATATAACACAATGGTTAGTGTATATTATTACGAATGATAAAATGTAAGTTCGATTCTTACTATGCCATAGGTAAGCAGTATAATGTAATGGTAACATATAAAGCTCATGACTTTATCATGATAGTTCGAATCTGTCTACTGCACTTAATTAAAATTATACTTATATCAAATAACACCTTTGGTGTAGCAATATATATCCATACCGTAGGTATGGTATATATCCACCCTCCGTAGGAGGGTTATATATTATATAATAAATGAATTATAGCTCAATGGTAGAGCAGTCCACTCATAATGGATGTATCTCAGTTCAATTCTGAGTAATTCAATAATAAAATAATTAATAATAAAGAGAACATGATGTTGGTTCAGATCAAATGCTATGTAGAAGCATAACACATGCAAGTTATTTTAATATTTATTAAAATAGCGATAAGGTGAGTGATATAAGATAATAAATTATCTTATTCAGATGTAGGTATTAGAGTTAATCTAGCCATCGAACTGGAGCCGACGATTATCGTCACAACGGCCACATTGATATAATATCAACTCTTATTAAGAGCAGCAGTGGGGAATCTTTGACAATGGTCTAACGACTGATCAAGCTATCTACGAGAAGGAATTATTAAATACTTATTCTTTAAGAATAAGTTAAATATATCCATATTATAAATATGGATATGTAATAATAATAATAAAGATAAAAACTATAAACTTCTAAGTAATTATAATAATGATATAAATTACGAAAGAGTCCTAACTAAAACATGTGCCAGCAGCTGCGGTTAGACATGGAGGGCTAGCATTGTTCAAAATGGCTTAAAGGATCTGTAGAACTTATAAATATATAATATATATATTTATATAGAATAAATTAAAGGTAATAAGAAATAAAGTTATAGAGATAAAATTCATCGAAAACATTATGACTACAAAGAGATTACTTAAATTTATTGACGTTGTGAGATGAAGGCTACGGTAGCGACATGGATTCGATACCCATTTAGCTTCGTAGCAGTAAACTATGAGTACAATAATTAGAAAAGTGAAAATGAATAGTACTCCGCCTGACTAGTATCGCTCGCAAGGGTGAAATACAAGACATTAGACGGTTGTAGTCCCTAGCAGTGGAACATGTCATTTAATTGGATGATCCCCCTTAAACCTTACCATCTCTTGAATTATTAACCGGCGTTACATCGTTGTCGTCAGTTCATGCCGTGAGGTATTATATTAAGTTATTAAATGAACGTAACCCTTTTTCCCCCTCTATATATTTATATATAGTTATGGAAATATTTATTATTTTACGATACATAGGAAGTCGAGGTTGAAGACTAATCATGATGACCCTAATGAGATGGGCTATAGACGTGTTACAATATTATTTACAATTATAATATATATACTCATAACTCTTTTAGAGTTATTAATTATATTAATATATATTTATTTAAATGATAAGAATATGACATAGTTTTCTTTTATGGATTGTAATCTGAAATTCGGTTACATAAAGGAGGAATTGCTAGTAATCGCGAACTAGAGTGTCGCGGTGAAATTTTTTGCTACTTCGTACTAACCACTTCATCAACAGCAAGAAATTTTTATTTTCCTCTTTTACTTTTTTTTTAAGTTTAATGAGGTTAATTGATAAAAGGACCTGCTGTAAGTTGAAATACGGGTTCGGTTAGGGGAACCTGATCGGGATTTATATTTTATAATTTATTCATCTTCATGAATGAATCTCCCCACTCCTACGGAGTGGGCATTTATTCTTTTAAAACCTTTCTTCGGGTTTCTAATAAGCACCTTCGGTGTGGATTATACTCTTTATAGATATCATATATCGCTCATTATGAGTGGTATATTATTTTAATATCCCACCCGCCACCTTTAATGGTGGGTGTGGAGATATATCAGTATCCTTTTAATGGATACTGATATATCTGATCCCATTCCAAAGGATGAGATTAAATATATATGCACGTCCGTGCAGATATATCTGATATATCCCGGAGGGATATATTAAATAGGTTTATAAATATAGATATGGATATAGTCTATATCTCAACGGTAGAGAGATCGATTGATAATCCGATAGATGTAAGGTTCGATTCTTACTAGACTAAAAGGTAAGCGGGTTATGATGAAATGGGTAGACCATATAGAACACTTAAAATTGGTTCGGATTAATATCGTGTAGGTTCGACTCCTACTAACCGTAAAAGGTGGGAGGTTCTAATGTTGGTAATTACGACCTATAATTGTAACTTTAGTGCCGTAGTGCTGCGACTGTTCGATTCAGTCCCTCCTCAATAAGATAGCTATAGTTCAAAGGTAGAACAATTGTATGTGGCGCAATATATCTGAGTTCAATTCTCAGTGGTTATCCATATGCTTAGGTAGTTCAATGGTTAGAACAGATGCCTCATATGCATCTAATGTTGGTTCAATTCCAGCCTTAGGCAATATATACTCACCATTGGTGGGGATATATATACCTACCGTAGGTGGATATATATATTTCTTATTATTTTATAAATATAAATGAATTATTCTATATAATTAGTCGTATAAGCTAACCAGGCATAGCGTCCGTTTTGTAATCGGAAGGTGTGGGGTTCGATTCCTCAATACGATATTAAATCATATACTATACAAAACAGTGCAGTATATGATAACCCTCCTTAAGAGGTTATGATAAACTCTCCAATGGAGGGTTTATGATACCGACCTTAGGTCGGCATTATAGACTACATGATCTAATGGTATGATACTACTACTTCACAGTATTTATGCGGGTTCGATTCCCGCTGTGGTTAATTAAATGTGACAATAGGTTAACTGGTAAACCCTGGCACTTCCAATGCTATTATGCGTGTTCGATTCACGCTTGTCATAATTATGAACATTGTTATTTCATGGTTGAATATGCTGATTGCAAATTAGTTATTTTAGGGTTCAATTCCCTCAATGTTCTATTTGATTTCGAGTTTATTTATTGATTTTGGTTTTATTTATAAAAATATCATATACCGCTTATTATGAGTGATATATAAGTGTAATATAACTTGATCTCGGTTTATCTACCAGATTGTTGCGTAATTGGTAACGTATCTACATTGGGTGTAGGGTTATGGGGGTTCAAATCCCTCCAATCTGATGTTCTTTATTTATTAATTTATCTTTATTAATTAATTTTATTTAAATGCCACAATTAGTTCCTTTTTATTTCTTACATTTATTAACTTTTGGTATATTAGCTTTATCTATTTTAATATTTATTATATCTAAATATTTATTACCTAATATATTAAGATTATTAATCGCTAGAATTTTAATAGTTAAATTATAATTATAATTTATACTTTTCTTATTTTTTTATAACTTATATATATTATAATAAGATTAATCTATATTAAATAGATGTACCCCTCCATTAAAATGAAGAGGTTCATCTATATTAAATAGATTTATTATAATAATTATACCCACCACCTTTCGTTATGGGTTATTAATCATATCCCCCCTGATGGGATATATATCATCCTCTACTGGGGATAATTTATACATTATATAATCCTATCCAAAAGAGGGAATTATATATATATATCCACCATTGATGGTGATATATATTTTATAAGTATAATTATTAATAATAATTGACTCTAATATATATACTATAGATATAATATTAAATATATCTGATCCCCCCTATAAATAGGGGGGGATTAAATATATCCATTATTGATGGATATATCTGATCCCTTCCAAAGGAAGGGATTATATATTTTATAATGGGAAATATCCTCACACCTATGGTGTGTAAATATTATATAAGAAATATATATAAATAGAGAAATAAATAAAAATAAATGATATTTTCACCATTAGATCAATTTGAAATTAAACCATTATTAACAATAAATAATGTAATAACATTAAGTATTACAAATTATGTAATATATTTAACATTAGTAGTATTAATAATATATGGATATAATATATTATTAAATAAATCATATTTAGGATGAAAATAGATGAGGAGTTGCTATATTAGCAATATATGATACAATATTAAATATGGGTTAAAAGTCAAATAGGAGCACGTGGAGGTTATTACTTTCCATTAATATTTACATTATTTAATTTTATATTAATAGCTAATTTAATCTCAAATGATACCTTATTCATTTGCTATATCAGCACAATTAATAGCTATAATATCATTAAGTTTAACATTATGATTAGGTGTAACTTTAATAGGTTTAGCTAATCATGGTTTAGGTTTCTTTGCTTTATTTGTTCCCTACTGGTACTCCTTTACCTTTAGTACCTGTATTAGTTTTAATAGAAACTTTATCTTATAGTTCTAGAGCTATATCTTTAGGTTTACGTTTATCTGCTAATGTTTTATCTGGTCACTTATTAATGTTAATTTTAGGTTCATTAATATTTAATTTAATGGGTACTTCTATAATAGGATTTATAGGTGGTTTCATACCAATGGCTGGAGTTATAGCTATTGTTATATTAGAATTTGCTATATCAATGATACAAAGTTACGTTTTCTGTATATTATTTAGTGGATATATAAAAGATGCTATTTACTTACACTAAATATATTTGCACGTTCCGTGCAGATATATCTGATATATCCCTTCCGGGAGATATTAAATATATCTCCCAATGGGAGATATATCTGATCCAATACCTACGGTATTGGATTAAATATATCAGTATCCATTAATGGATACTGATATATCCAAAGGTATTCTCCATCTTTATACTGGCTCGTACCGAGTGAGCATATATTCATCTTTCAAGGAAAGATGGATCGCCCCCCTTCGGGGGGCTTTCATCTTATGAAATAAGATGGATCGCCACCTTTGGTGGCTTTCATATTTTATTTTATTCTGAATGATAACCAAAAGTCGATATATATTTTATAGTTAAATATTATAATATAATTAAAAAGAGAGGTAAAATTAATAGGTAAGATCAATAAAATAAGATAAAAAAAAGTAAAATAAAAATTAAAATAAAATAAAATGGCAATAAGAAAAACTAACCCTTATTTAGCGTTAGCTAATAGTTATTTAATAGATAGTCCACAACCTAGTTCATTAAATTATTGATGAAATTTAGGAAGTTTATTAGGATTATGTTTAGTAATACAAATAGCTAGTGGTATATTTTTAGCAATGCATTATAGTTCTAATATAGAATTAGCATTTGATTCAGTAGAGCATATAATGAGAGATGTTAATGCTGGATGATTAATAAGATATATACATGCAAATGGAGCTTCATTTTTCTTTATATGTATGTATTTACATATAGGAAAAGCTTTATATTATGGAAGTTATAAATCACCTAGAGTATTAGTATGAGCAATAGGAGTTATAATATTTGTTTTAACAATGGCTACAGCCTTTATGGGTTACTGTCTTGTTTATGGACAAATGTCACACTGAGGTGCTACAGTTATAACTAACTTATTATCAGCTATACCATTTATAGGTAATGATATAGTACCATTTATATGAGGAGGTTTCTCTGTATCAAATCCTACAATACAAAGATTTTTTGCATTACATTATTTATTACCATTTATTTTAGCAGCATTAGTAGTAATGCATTTTATAGCATTAACATACTCATGGATCATCTAATCCTGTAGGAATATCAAGTAATTTAGATAGAATACCAATGCATAGTTACTTTATATTTAAAGATTTAATTACTGTATTTGTATTTATATTAGTATTTAGTTTATTTGTATTCTTCTCACCTAATACTTTAGGACATCCTGATAACTATATACCCAGGTAATCCTATGGTTACACCTGCATCTATAGTACCTGAAATGATATTTATTACCATTCTATGCTATATTAAGATCAATACCTGATAAATTAGGTGGAGTTATAGCTATGTTTGCAGCTATATTAATATTATTAATATTACCTATAACCTGATAGATCAGTTATAAGAGGTAATACATTTAAAATATTATCTAAATTATCATTCTATTTATTTATATTTAACTTTATATTATTAGGTAATTTAGGACAATTACATGTTGAAGTACCTTTCATACAATTAGGTCAATTTGCTACTGCTTATTACTTTAGTTATTACTTAATTTTAGTACCAGTTATATCTTCAATAGAAAATATTTTATTCTATATAGGAAGTAAATAAATATATATATATATTCATCTTTACCCCCCTTTTTAGGAGCATCTCTTATTATATATAAGGTTTATTAATAAAATATTTTCTATATTTCCACATTTTCAATGTGGGGATATATATATCCTTCGTAGAAGGATAATATATATATCATAGATATATGTATATATCCCCAAGGGGTATATATTTATTATATTTTAGAGTAATAAATAAAAAAAAAGATAATAAGAGATAAAATAAAATAAGAATTAAATAAATGTTAGCTATGATAACAACATTACTTACATTTTATGTAAGTCAAAATAATATAATAACATTATTAATAGCAATAGAAATATTATTATTAACAGTAACAGTTAAAATAATATATATAGGAGGAATTTATAATGATATAGAGGGAACTATATATGCACTATTTATAATAATATTAGCAGGAGCAGAATCAGCAATAGGTTTAAGTTTATTAGTATCATATTATAGATTAAGAGGGAAAGTAACTAGTATATTATAAATAAAATGATAAATTGATTAACATATATAAATGAAGAAACAATATATATAAATTTAGGAACATGAATATCATTAGGAGATATACAAATTAATTATGGTTTATTATTAGATTCATTATCTATGGTAGTTATGGTTCCAGTAGGAATAGTAACATTAGCAGTATTATTTTATGCTATAGATTATATGAGATTTGATCCTAATCGTAATCGTTTTTATATTATATTAAGTGTATTTGCTATATTTATGACAGTATTAGTAGTAAGTGATAATTATGTTATGATGTTTATAGGTTGAGAATTTGTTGGTGTTATTTCTTATTTATTAATATCTTTTTGAAATACACGTATAGCAGCAATGAAATCAGCTTTATCAGCTATATTATTAAATCGTATGGGTGATACATTATTTGTTATATGTATAGGTACTATGTTATCTTTATTTCATGCTGTAGATTTTGATACTATTGAATTATTAACTCCTCATACAGATACATTTATATTAAATTTAATAGCTATTATGTTATTAATAGCTGCTACAGCTAAATCAGCTCAATTAGGTTTACATGGTTGATTATTAAGTGCTATGGAAGGTCCTACACCTGTTAGTGCATTATTACATGCAGCTACAATGGTATGTAGTGGAGTATTTGTTTTAGTAAGATCATCATATATATTAGAATATACACCATCAGTATTATTAATAATATTATGATTAGGAGGATTTACTACTTTAATAAGTGGTTTAATAGCAGTAGTTACTAATGATATAAAAAGAGTTATAGCATTATCAACGATGAGTCAATTGGCTATGATGATCTTAGCTATAGGATCTAGTGCTTATGATTTAGCAATATATCACTTATATTGTCATGCATTCTTTAAAGCATTATTATTCATGTCAGCAGGATCAATCATCCCTAGTTCTATGTC